GTCTGCATTTACTGTACATTTTAAAGCTGTAGTAATAATAATAATTTTAAGATGATCATAATACGCTCCTGGCCTTTCAATGTGCGTGCACTGCAGCTGTATTTGACGTTAGTGTCGGTCTAAGCCTAAGAGGGTGGGGTCCGGTGTTATTATCGGTGATATGGCTCAAATGCTGGGCTGCAGTGTCAATACTAGAACACATTGTGCCAGCTGGAGAGGTCATCCTGAGGCCTCCCCCCCACACACTCTGAACAGATACATGAGTAATTCTGTGTGTGTGCATGTGTAAAGAGACACAGAGGGAACAACAGAGATAGAGATTAGTGAGTTGTGGGGCTGTACAGCAAAAACATGATACAGGGAGAAATGAGAGAGACAGTGAATGTATGGTCAGGGCAACAAGTCATTGAACCTAAACAGCTATATAAGTCATGTGTCCCTACCTTTTGGGCACAATAACAACTTGCTTAGCTGCAAGTAGAGATCATGGTTTGGGTTCAAATCAGAACTTAAGGTTTGACTGTCATGGTTACTATAATAAACGCACGGTTCAAGGTACAGAACAATCAAGATCGTGGCTAAAAGAATCAACACTGACTGTCAGTTTGAAATGGGAAACGACCAGTAGTCCAGTGTTTTGTCGACCCACCCATCCACCCTGACCTCCACCCTACGATGACATTGTTGCTCTATAACAGTCACTTGACTTCCTTCTTTGATCCCATCATAATTACTACAGCTGCTAGAGAGTTCACTTGCACAAATAACCTCTGGTGCCATCTTCTATAGGAGGGCAGTCTTGTCAGAGTACAAATGTACACTTCAGTCAGCAGGGGTTTTGAAAAGATGATTATTGTTATATCAGGTTGTGTAAGGTTTAGGCATCATATTGTAGCTAACCACCTAATAAGTAATAAAGCGGACTTGTTTTTATTTATGCTGTAGCGACTTAGAGTGGGCCATATTTCCATGGACTATTAATGATAGTCCATCTAAATATAATAAACATGCATTTACTCCCCGCCACCTCTCTGTGGTAATTCCTACAGTATGTGCCTGTATAAAACAGATACGATGTTTTGCTATGATAATCTCCTCTTATTGCGTTCTTGATTCAGCTACTCATCCAACACAGAACATGCACATTATAGTGTGTGGACATGGGACTAAACACACTGGCACAAACTGTTATCAGCCACACACATGTGCAAACTCACTATACACATGCATTAGTGTGCACTGTTAGAATCACTGGCATGTTTCCTGTACACACATCCCCATCACACTTTAATCTCACTCGGTCATGGACATAAACGTCCTTAGATGGTAGGATTTGGTTAGCGGCTAGTAGACTAATCCAGATCAACTGGTTGTTGTTATAAGCTGTTTTTAAAATTACTGGCATGTAATCATGGCAATAATGACCATGTGACTGGTGAACTGTTATGAAAAGTTATTCTATTAAAATAAAAGGGTTTCAAGTAAGAATTTGGGTCTAAATTCTCAGACTCTCTCATCCTTTTGAGACACACATGCTTCTCATCTCCTTTAATTCTATCCTTCTTTTCTCTAGTTCACATCTTCTTTACCCAAACCACTCTCTCTCCTTTGTTTGCTCTGTTTCTTTACCTTGGGACGGGAGCAGAATCTCACCAACTTATCTCCTCTTGCTCTGCACTACTTTCTCTCCTTGAGGGGATCAGTTGTACCTTTCTCTCTATATGTGAATCTGCCTTTCCTGGCTATTTGTGCGATTGATCCATCCAACACAAATACACATGCATACAGCACAGTGGACCCGTCGACCTGCTCCATATTTCTATTAGCCTGTCCCAGTGTGGTATATGGTCACAGAGCCGTGGGTGCTGGTGCTTCAGCACAGGTGGAAAGCTACCACTGCTGCTGAAGAAAATAAGCAGTCATATACCAGATGAGACCTTGCAAGCATGAGACAAATCAGGCCTCTCTGTCAGGGAGGAGGCGAGTAATAAAGCTGGAACAAAGAAAACAGCTATGTTGCAACCTGCTTTACATCAGGATTGTTGAGCATGTCTCTGAGCAGAGTTCAGCAGTTAATGTCACTGTGAAGCACTGCAGAGTTAGCAGTATACTGCAGCAGTGCATCGGATCTGGCAGAGGTGAATATTTTGCCCTGACTAGGCAAAATATTTGATGATATCTTGGTGTTGTTACTAAAAAAGGTTGAATGCACTTTCTGTAAATCCCTTTGGACTAGAGTGTCTGCTAAAGCAAAACAGATGCATTTCAGTATGATACTGTCACTAGGGTTAGTTAAATAAATTCTGGACAGTTTGGTAGATGACAACAGTGTGCTTTTAAAGTTAATAAGAAGGAAAACGTGACTAAGGCTATCCTCATGCCTTTGTTAGTCACAAACCCATTGTGTAGCTCATAGGCTGTATTGTATTGTATTGACTGAGTTATAGCCCAAAAAGTCTTTGATTACAAACTATATTGTATACTGGTATGATATTTTCAGGATTTTTTAGAGAGCAGAAAATAGCCAGTGGAGCTATGATTGAATATTCTTTTCTGGTATGAATGAAATCAGACGTGTGTGTATAGATTAGAACGTTCACGTTACGAAATGGGCCTCAATGGTAGAAGGTAGCAGACTTACCAGAATACACACATTAGCACACATACACACACACACACACTTGTCTCACACGTTTTATATTTGTGACACCCAGAACCTTTTGATCAGCATCATGGGTCACTAAGCTAATGGCCACCTTCAATGTGTATACACAAATCTGAGAGAGCGAGAGACAGAAAATGAATGTTTGCGCACATGTAAGTGTGTGTGCGTTGCTTCTGGGTCAGTGTGGTCAGGGTGAAGACAGCCACAGAGAGCGTGCTCTGTTTTTTTTTTGTCACGGTCCATTGCAATCAACAACAGACACTGCCGCTGCACGCAGCCACTGTGTGTGTGTGTGTGTGTGTGTTGCCTTGTTTTTCTGTACTTGTGCATCCTGAAAGTTACTATCTTTGCAGGGAATGGAGGCTGGTCCACACAAAGTAGTACAATGGTAACAAGAGCCATAGTCCTACAATCACATGAACTTGTTTCCCCTCTGATACGTCACATTTAAATTTTACGAAAACGATGGGGTGTAAGGATAGAGGAAATGTCGGCTTTCTGGTGAAGGTTAGTGTAATACCGCTTTCCCACCAAAAGTACTGTGTATGCATGGATTTTTATACCCAGCTAAACCAGCCTTTAATTGGCTCCTGACAGCATTCCCACTGCAGACCGACCCAGCTTGGCTCTCACTCTGTGTAGACTGAACCATGTTAGAGCACTGACTCGAAAGAAGACAGATGGAATTTATGACTGAGATGACAAAGAATCGCTGAAATAATCAACAGAGAAAAGCCTTCATTAGCGATAGATACTTTATGTATTAGAAATGTGGTGACAATCCTTGGTGACAATTGCTGAAGTAATGACGACGTATGCATCATTGCGTGCGTTTGTAAGTTGAGCTGAGCTTGGTTTTTCCATTGGTTCCAGCTAAAGGTGTGCCAAGGCAAAGTGGATAACGACCCATATCGATTGCCGTCATTTGCATTCTCACTGCCGTCAAAAGCTGAGGTGTGGCAAGTTTACATGGGTTTTTTGGGCAGTGGGAAAGGGGCTTTAGTATGTAGGGACCCAGTAAGTGATGAAAAATAGGGTGTGTTTGTGTTGGGATGGACTTTGACAGAGCAGATTTAAACTTTGCCAAACGACCACACGGTAAATTTTTCAAAAGCATGTTTGTCTCCTTTTGAAAATACAGAAAATGGCAGTTATGGTAGACTGCAAAGGTTAATATACAGTTGCAAATTAACCTACAGTATAGGCTGACAGATTTTCACTCATAACACAACCCTTTTTAATTCTTTGTCACACACACACATTTGTACTTCTATCTTTGTGAGGACACTCATTGACATAATGCATTCCCCAGCCCTTACCTTTACACCTTAACCTAAACCTAATTCTAACCTGAACCCTTAAACCAAGTCTTAACCTTCAAAAAGCTGTTTCAGAAAGTGACGACTGGCCAAAATGTTTTCACTTTCCAAAAATGTCCTCACTCTGTAGGAAAATACCTTTTGGTCCTCCCTGTGTAGCAAGTACAAGAACACACACACACACCTGACTGACAAAAAAGACCTTGTAAATTTACCATTCCTCTGTCCCTGTGACCAAAGCACATCATGATAATGACCCTTACATACAGCATCTGGATAAAAAAGGTTCCATTAAAGCCAAGCTTATGCTGCAAAAATGCACTTACAGGCAAATAAACCCATACTTACATTCAGCACAGAAACACACAGTCTGCAGTGTTACCTATGTGTTACATATGAATGCTACTGAAACCTGTCATTAAGTGTTCCTGCTGGCCTGTTTATTCAGACCTATTAAAGATCGGGGCTTATTAGGGAGACCGCTCTACTACAGGACATCATGTCAGAAAAGCCTGATCATGTGTTTACCATCCTGTGCCATTTTGCCAGTTGCTGGAGCCACTAAAACAATTCAAAGTCAAAGAGCAGTGACTAGCGAAGACATTAAACAAGGTACCATAATGATAGGTAATCTTTTCTCAGGACACACTAAAGATGCAAGTAAACATCTGTAAATACTGCACTTACATTCTACAGCTGCCCAGCAAGACAACTGCACTGAGATGCACATGTTGCCCCATGTTGTGTAAGAAGTTATCTAAAAACAGGAACGCTCAGTGTAGTAAGCAGGTTTTAGATCCACCTAGTCATCAAAAGTAGATTAAAGCAGTTTTAATTGCTGCGACCATAACAAATGTAGAAAAAAAAATTATATATACCTGAGAGTTTGTCACTTTTAAATACAGGCAAAACTCCTGTGCATCATTGTTAGTAGGCAAATGCACATTTTGTTTTGGCTTAATATTGCTGAGTTTTTACCCTTGAACAAGAGACCAATCTTCCCATTTTTTACTGATTTTCAGTCTATTGGCAGGAACCCTTTGCACTAACCATAAAGAATTTTAGATTAAACTAGTCTGAAGCAGTTATATAAACTCTGGTTGGAAAACATTTGTTTGTTCATTCAGTCATTTTACACTGAATCACCTTTTATTGTGGATTTTTATTCAGATCTCATTTCCTGATATGGTTTCATATTTAGCCATTTATTCGGGAATTTGGAGACAGGCTGCCTGAACTCTTTGTCACACGATCACTTATTTCATCAACAGGAAAACATGATATGGTATGAATGGCAACTGTCATATCTTAAACAGTTTTACACTTACACTAACTGGCTTTCAACTTCACATTCCTTGACTGTGCAGCCACCTTTCATGTTAAATTTTAAGTCCTCTCTCATGGCATTTCTGATTTCCACACATCTTGAAAATCTGACCCTCTACCTACTTATGGGTAGATTTCATTATTGAGTAACTACATAATAGGGGCCACATTACAGAGGATGCAATCAAAATCTGTCAGTCTGATATACCATCACACAGGACTGTGCAATACCAAATGCCCTAATCACACGCCATCCATTACAATTGCACTGAGTTCGAAAAGCTGCTTTACAGCTTGTACTACAACTGAGACAGACACACAGACAGAAACAGGCTCATTGGTCACACTCTTCCATTACATATACACGGACAGTGCATGGGCATTTTTCTCTGTCTCTCCTTCACAACATATTTATTATATAATCTAACAGATGATTCAGAGGCCAAAGATGAAGGTTTTTTTTTTCATAGACAGCACAGAACACAGCCTATCATGGAATTGTGGCAAAATTAGCTGAATAGCTGATGTCCTTTACTGGTTCAAAACTTTGGAGACAGCTGTGCCCAGTGGTATGGGCTAAATGCTTCTAGGTGTTTGTCAACATACTGACTGTTTCTCAAAAATTAAAAACTGACCAACAGACTGATTTATAATAACCAGCTCTAACTGTACAAACTAGACCTAATTTTTGCATACTTTGGTGGAATGCACTGCAAATGTATGGTAAAATCATGCATTTCTATATAGCATAGGATATTATTAATTTTACTGTCAGGCAGCCTAACGCTGATGACAGTCCTAGTGAACATTAAAGTGTTTATGTTGGAGACAAGATGCCTTTATGAGTCTCCTACAACTTCTATAGGATGGCACTGATGGTGGTACGGGAGGCCTACCGTGGGTGAGGTCAGCCGCTTCAGGCTCTCCCCAAGCGAGTCCAGGTTCACCCGTCTCCTCCTGGTGACCTTCTTGTGGGGTCCACCGTGTCCTTGCTGCTCCGGCGGGGCTGCGGCCGTTCCAGAGCACCGCTCTGTGGGAGGATGGGAAGGAGGAGAAGGAGGAGAACGGGCAGCCTCGACTCTCCTCCGCCGGCTCCAAACCTCCGTCCCCTCCGTCTCCTCCGGGGCTTTCGAGCCCGCAGTCCGAGCCCACTGAGCTGCTGAACGACTCGGAGGAGATCTTGCGCGACGACGAGGACATGGTTGTGATGAGGAAGAGGAGGAGGAGGATGGTGATGATGACAGTGATAGTGCTGAGGATGACGATGATGATGCTACAGCCGGTTCCGTACCACGTCCACCTCTACGCCGGGGAGTCATCAGATTGTGGGGGTTTGAGAGGGATGGTGAAGGGCTGGCTGGGTGAGGGGGGGTGAGGTCAGTCTATATAATTATGTATGCATATGAGATGTGTGCCTGCGCGTTTGATGATGTCCTGGTCTGTCTGTGTGTGCAGATGAGATGTGTCTGTCTGCGTGTGAGACTCAGCAACCTATTGAGAGGGAGAGAGAGGGGGGTCGAGAACGAGAGAACTAATGGCACGCAAACATTTATGTAAGAGGAGGAGGTGGGGGGGTGTCGTCTCTTAAAAATCGTTCTCCTTCAAGCCACTCAAAAAACAAATCCCCGAGAGGACAAAATCTTTCTAAAAAAAATTCCTTCGAATAAAATATACAAACTATTTTAAAGTACCTTAATTAACAAAACTGCAAAGCAGAAATCTGACAAAGGTCACCAACATCCACAACGTCTTGGTCCACCACGGTAATTCCGACACGTTAGCGTCTGCTCGTTTTCTCCCCCCCTTTTGCCGGAGAAAAATCCCCAAAGTCACGCAGATGTGTCTGCGTCCCTCTGTCCTCCTTCTCGTCCTCTGCGACAGCGGCTCTCCTGTCTGTCTGCCAGCTAGCCGTCCTCTCATCATTCATCCATCTTCCACTTATAGCCTGTTTCTTCACCTGCTCCGCGGATTTTGTCGTCCTGTCACTTGTGGTTATTGCTGGGAGTGTGATGGGTGGAGGTGCGCGAGATGGGGAACTGGGAGAGAGAGCGAGCGCGAGCGAGCGCGGCCAGCCAACAGCAGCACGCGCCGGCGAAGTGCTGCGCAGATCCGAACGGTCCACCGAGCTCGTGCCGTGAAGTAGACTACGAAGAGCAACCAAAGAGGATGGATAGATACAAATCATTTAGGTTACACAGCAGTAGAACGTGGCCCAACTTATCAGCCAGATGACATGACTGTATCAATAATCATAACCTATTAATATGTTATTCCCAAATCGGCCATTGCATAACGAGTAGCCTGCTTTTTTCTATTAGTAGTCTACTTTCTAAAGTGTATATCTTTGTCAGTGCTGATACATCTGTACTTTTAGCCTAGTCAAGTTAAAGTTTGAATGCAGGAATGAAGTATTTATATTGCTGTACTGGCTACTTCTTCCACCATTGCACATCCTTTATATATATATATATATTAAAAATATCATTCTGATGTAAAAGTACGGTTTGGTCTCCTGGTCTCAGCTTGTAATGCGGCTGCAGCATGTAGTCCACTGTGTGCAGTGATGTGAGCTTATGATGCAGAAAGAGATGGGTCAGTAGGGGAGCAGTGACAAATTTCAGCACCGGGGCAAACAAACAAGGTCACCCAGCTATGTTTGTATCCAAAAATGTAAATAAAAGAAACTAAATTATAACCATTTGGTCAAATGTTCAGTAATTTTTCCATTTTATTTCTAAATTGTGTTGTTTACAGTTTCCTATACTAGTGACAGATTGGCAGGCAAACAAACAGGTGATTGTTCTTTGATAAACCACCTGGAAATGGCTGTCCAGTAAAATCATATTTCATCACCATCATCAAACTACAATCATGGCCAATAAGACAAGTTCAAGGCAATGAGCCAAACGTGTTCAACATGGATTTCAAGGACCAATGTACCTCCACAGGCATATGATGGAGCTGGCAGCAGTGATACATGCTTGTTGCCTCCCACTGGAGAACAGGCTGGTGTCTGGCACTAATCACAGCCATGACCTTGACCTCGATTGGCAGAGCATGTCTGTTCATTAAGAGCCCCAAAGGGACAAGCAGAGAGACAATCAAACAGACATGAAGCACCATTCAAGTGAATGCATGTGCACACATACACACCATTGTGTAATTTCCTGGAGGTCCTACTAATTCATTTGACTTTCTGGAGCAGCATGACCCCAATACATTGCACGGAATGTGGCTCCCTCTCTCTCACCCACATTACACACAAGCTCCATCTCTCTTTCCCGGTCACTTGCTCTTAGCAATCAGTCTGCCATCCATCAGTAATAATATGGACATTTAATAAAGTCAACTCTACAATGGAGTAAATAGTGTTCTAGAGAAGATAAGCCCACTAGCTGAGAGACTGCCTCAAGCTGGCGGCCAGCCATCTACAGCTGAGTGTAGACAGGGCAATAGCTCAGTAACTGTGTTGGAAGGAAAATAGATGGGCAGTCATACTAATCTCATTCAGTAGGTACATCAAACATGGGTGACATCAAACTTTATTAAGCAGTCCTCCCCTCAGTCTGTCATAATAATTACACAACTGATAACTAATCAAGAGAGTCAGACAGTAACAAATGTCAGTGGTTTATTAGTCAAATAAATGCTTTCCTGTGGTAGCACTGCATCTGTCTTGTACACACTGCTGACCTTTGTTTTCATAACATAGATAAGTATCATGCTTTGGCTGTTCAATAGCATCACTATGAATGCAACAATTAAATTACACATGCAGATGAGGAACTGTCTTTCATTCTGAATGGTTTAAAATATTAATCCATGTGCAAGCAAGATGCATGAGACTCATTCTAAGGCTCCAGTTTTATTTAGGGTATATTTTCATAATAATATCTGGTAATAAATGTGACATTATTCCAGTAAATACATGAGAAGAGAGGGAGGAAATAACTAGCATGTTTTACAGACAGATTTACAGTTTCATTTTATGCACAGCCCTGCATATTTGCACGAAGACTTAAAGCCTGGATTCACTTGAAAACAAACAGAGAAACAAACACAGACCAACACACAGATATTTCAAATAAATGTATGTAAAAAGGGAGAAAACTGTATAAAGACACAATCATCGAGGAACAGACATATGTTCAGAGCTTAAGCCGTCAAAATCTGAAATACATGTAATGTGGAAGGCAAGAAGATAAGAAAAGATTCAGCTCCATGACACGCACCAGTGAGTCAAAACCAGAGGTAAGCAGTCAGACACACTGAAATGTAAAACACAACCAAACATTCATTCATGTGCCCAGAGACACACACAGCTTCAGCATTTCATTGCTCGGTACCACTCACTAGAGCTTTTAGATCTTGTAGTTCCCCTGTGTGTGTGTGTCTGTTTTACTGCAGACATTGTGGTATTGCATCATCTTTCTGTCAAAATATGCCTCATGTCCACTAATGATGCATGACTGTGTAAAGTATAAAAAGAATCTAGAAGGACTTGAGGCAGAGAGGGAACGAATGAGTGAACGAAACAAAGCTTCTGAGGATAAACCAGCATAGTGTGAGGGGCTGAAAAATAACATTAAAAAAGGGAATGTGTGTGTGTGTGTGTGAGAGAGAGAGAGAGAGAGAGAGAGAGAGAGAGAGAGAGGCAGAGACAGGGAAGGAGAAATGACTGTCTCCTTCATAAATCTTCCCCCAACCAATCTAATTGGCTATAACCATAAATCAACTCCACACCAACTGTGCTGACTTTAACCGTGAAGCTGGACCTCTCTGTCACTTGTGCAACATAAATAACCTTCTGTACTGTCCCACGGGAAAGGACAAGCAGGTTGTGGTGAGAAAAACAGCATTACAGATTCAGTTTCTTGAAAAGGATGATGATCTGACCTTTAAATAGGTTTTGAGAGTGTGTGTGTGTTGCAAATGGGTGTGGGGCAATAGAGGTGGTTAGTGCTGATTACAAATGATACTGGCCCTCTGATGAACATATACAGAAAGTGTTCTGACCCTTTCAAGTTTAACACATTTCATGTTTCAGACTAATCTTAAAATTGTTTTTTTTTCCTCATCAATCTACACACAATACTCTATAATGATAAAGTGAAAACAGGTTTTTCAAGTGTTTTGAAAATGTTTTAAAAATAAAAGACTGAAATGTCCCATTTACATAAGTATTCAGACCCTTCACTTGGTATGTTGTTAAAGCACCTTTGGTAACAACAGCCTCAACTCTTCTTGGGAATGAAAATACAAGCTTGGCATCTTTCTTTTGGAGATTTCTTCCATTCTTCTTGGCAGAATCATTCAAGGTCAGCCAGGTTGGAGGTGGAGTGTCGGTGCACAGCTATTTTCATGTCTGTCCAGAGATGTTCTGTTGGGTTCAGGTCCAGACTCTGGCTGGGCCACTCCAGGACTGTCCCAGTTTTCCTGAAGCCACTCCTATGTTTTCTTGGCAGTGTGCTTCAGGCCACCATCTTGTTGAAATGTAAACCTTGGCCCATCCTGAGCACTATGGACAAGGTTTTCATTCAGAATTGCTCTATATTTTTCTGAATCTTTCCCTCTATACTGACTAGTCTCCCAGTCCCAGATGCAGATAAACATCCTTGCACCATGATGCTGCCACCACCGTGTTTGACTGTAGAGATGGTATTAGTGAGGTGATGCTCAGTGCCTGGTTTTCTCCACACACACTGTTGGGAATTGTGGCCAAAACAGTTCAGTCTTTGTTTAATCAGAACAGAGGATTTTGCTTCACATGGTCGGAGAGTCCTTCAGTTGCCTTTTGGCAAACTCCCAGAGAGCTGTCATGCGTCTTTTAGTGAGGAATGGCTTCTGTCTGGCCACTTGACCACAGAGGCCTGATTGGTGGAGTGCTACACTGATGGTTGTCCTTCTGTAAGGTTCTCCATCTCCAGAAAATAACTCAGAATCTCCCTCATAGGGACCCTGGGGTTCTTGGTTACTGGTCTGACCCCAATTACTCAGTTTGTCTGGGTGGCCACATCGATGAAGACTGGTTGTGGTTCCAAATCTCTCCCATTTAAGAATAATGGAGGCTACCATGCTCTGGACGCTTGCAATGTTGCAGAAATATTTTTGCATCCTTCCCCAAATCTGTGTCTAAACACAATCCTGTCTCACAGGTCTGTGGACAGTTCTCTCGACCTCATGGCTGTTTTCCCTCAGACATACACCACCCACTATGAGACCTTATACAGGAGGATGCACCACAGCTCAATTTAAAGTGTCATAACAAAGGGTCTGAATACTTATGTGAATGGGATATTCTCTTTTGTTTTTAATAAATTTACAGAACACTCCAAAAACCTGTTTTCACTTTATCATTGTGGAGTATTGTGTGTAGATTGATGAGGAAACATTAAACTGAATCCATATAAAGATGAGTCTGAAACATAAAATGTGGAAAACCTGACAGGGTCTGAATACTTTCTGTACTGGCTGCATACAAATAAATTATCCATACTTCATTGACTGTCTAGCCACAGACACTATGGTCACTGTTGATCTTGACATTGAAACAGGTCTTACCAAGGTGATAAGTAACAACACACATTGGTTCCTCCTTAGGGAAATTAATTTTCTCCATGTACCTGTGTCCTTGCTAAGAGGCATCTGGATCCTACAAGAAAAGGACCATCCCCTCTAAAAAAAAAAAGTTTCCTTTTATCAATCACTCTTGTTCAATGTGACTTAAAATAAGTGCAAGCCTACAATATATCATCAACTTAAATGGCCCTAGTGTTAAAGTGTTCAAGGCATTACAAGAGTCAACAGCTCTTTCCTGTGGATTGAAAAATAGCTCAAGGGTGATTGTCCTCTTTCTGCAGTGAGAGTTAAAAATATTAACGTCACAAGGGACAAAGGGTAATCAAATAGAACTCACAGAAGGTTTAGATTGCACCGCACGATTCTAGATTATCCTTCATAGCATATATTAACAACTTTCCTGCTACAGAATCGATTGATCTATTTCCGTGACTCTCCTAGATAGCGTCTCTTTTAGGTTTCTAAGAGGGACTGATTCATGAAGGAGAGCCCCGTCTCTAAAATGCTGATTGTAAAGCCTTTCCCCCTGTGACAAAATATATAAACTGTGCTATAAAAAGCTAATCAAAATCTTCATCTTTTGTGATTCACACAAACTCAGCACTAACCAAATGCACCCATGCACCGCATGGTGTTTAAGATGAAAGCTGGAAATGAGGTGGGTTTCTGAAGTGATGAGCTAATCGCAGCCAAAAGCATAGATGTTAAAAAAATTAAAGTTGAGGTTGCATGCAGGGGCAAGGTGGCTGATTGCTCAAGTCATGAGAGAAGTGGGCGTTGGACACGGTGTGAGGGTTGCTGTGACATGCCTGGCTCTGACACTGAAACCACTTAAACGACAGCTGCAAAAGATGATGAGGCCTCAGCATAGGAAATTAAACCCCAAACCTGGGGAGCGGGGGAGGGCACTATTGGCAAAAGAAGCCTGAACAAATGGAGAGTACCCTAGCTGCATTGTATTGCTGATACAAGGCCATGTGTACTGGGATTTCTGGAACCAAATATTTAGTTACCCACAGTGGATTTCTGAGCTTTTGTCTGGGGACCAAAACTTCTTGGAGGGCCCAATCTGCACCCAGACGTCCGTTTACCTGCCACTGCTCTAGATTCTTATTTGATACTGAAATACAGTACCAATTATAGTTTGGACACACCTTCTCATCCTATAGTTGATCTGTACTTCATTGTAGAATATTGAGGACAAAACTGAAATATGTTGGATTTATGTACTGTAGTAAGAAAAAAATGTTAAAGCAAAGTTTTTCCATTTTAGATTCTTCTCAGTAGCCACTGTTTGCCTTGATGACAGCTTTGCACACTACTGACAGTATGTTAACCAGCTTCATGAGGTTGTCACCTGGAATGGTTTTCATTTAACAGGTGTGTTTTGTCAAAAGTTAAATGGTAGAAATTCTTGATTTATTAATGTGTCTAAGATCAACAGAAACTCTACAACAGAGTTCATTAGAAGCAGCAACCCCTGAAACAGCCAGTTAATATTGCCTCAGATCAGAGCCCACATCAATGCTGCCTGCAGCTCACATACTGTAGCACACACATCTTGTTACCGGCTACTCGGAGGACACGGCATCAATCAGGCTTTCATGGTTGAGCTGCTGCAAAGAAACCACTACTGTAGGAAACCAGTGAGAAGAAGAGGGACCACACATCTCTAAGTGGCATTTGACCAAGAGAGCCAGTCATGGATTGCTGCATTAAATGACTTGGCCTCCACAGTTACTCAAACTAAACCTGACTGAGATGATATGGGATGAGTTGGACCAGAGAGTGATGGAAAAGCAGCCAACAGGTGCTCTCCAAATGTGGGAACTCCTCCTGAAATTATCTAATCAAAATATAGTTACTGGGAAGAATCAAAAGTTTAAAACACTTTGCTGTATTAGTTTTCCATATATACTATTTCATTGTTTTATTAATTATATGAACCAAGCGAAAACCTTATATGCAAACCACAGTGTTTAAGTATTATTTTATTATTTAGTATTAATACATAATAAGGGAATGACATTTAGCTCTAGATGGCTATTCAATGTAAAGGAAAGGAGGCATGAAAGGACTTCTGGCATGTAACACACAAATACATGAATCAAAATAGAATTACATTATCTAAGTTTCATTTACAGTAGGTAAAAATCTTATCAGATTACAACTTCTAGTGGGAATTTTACATCAAATTCTTAATTTGTGGGTCTAACAGTGTCTATACCACGTTCACCAAATGTGATTCCTGCACTTGGAACCACAGTGTTTCTGTATTTGTATGTGTTGTCCTTACTACTAAAAAACAAGTGTGCATCTGTCTGTGAATGTGTTCAACTAGCCCTCAGTCTTGGTGCAGTCATATGGTTTCCACCACTGTGCGAACTGCAGGACCTTTTTCCTCTGATCATCAAAGTTCTCTCTTATCAACTTTCTCCAACGTCGTGGCTCCAAGTCCAGCATGCCTCCTACCACTTCCTGTGAGGGAAAGACGCACTCATCATATTGAAATCTTGCTGGTATTGGCTAGTGTAGGCTGCATTTGGCAAATGTTCACTTTTTCTCTATGGCCACTGAACTGACTGAGGCAGAACAAGGGGAATATTTTCCACATCTGTCTGGCCATTGAGAGACATGAACGACGAAGTGCAAAACAACCAATCATGGCTATTGCCCTCTATGTCACCAAGATGTGTAGTGACATTTCTGGAGAGGTGCACGCCAGGCTACGGTGTAGGGTAGGAGGCTATGTGTTACCTACGTCACACCTACAGTGCAGATTCAACCCAGAACCATAAATTAAGCTTTAGAGTCAAGGTAAAGCTGTGACCCACAGTCACACATGGCCAAGTTTTGTAAAATTCCTAGGATCAAATAAAAGTGACTTCTACTAGCTAAAAAAATAAATAATAGCATAATGGTGCACGAGGCATAGCTGCCTTACACAAACTGACCTTGCCAAAGTAATGGGGGAACTTCTGTTCATTTTCAATGACATGGGCAAACCCTCCCTGGAGTCCAAAATCTACAGCAAAGTAGGGTAGACCACGAGGAACCTAGGAGGGGGCAATCCGCAAAACATTAACAATAATTAACAAGGACAGGAAAATATAAGAACAGAAAGGAGAGAGAGAGGAAAGACAACAAATATGAAGTAAAAAAGAAATACCACTCAAAAGAGATATTATAGAACGACAGGACTAAACAACAGAAAGAAAAAGAGAGCGTACAGCTCGGCGGATGTCTTTTGAAGAGAGGTCAACAATCTTCTTGTTGATGGCCCATTCCTCATCACACTCCATAAGAGCTTTCTGGAGGCACACAGAAGCAGCTGTATTACTACAGTTGAGAGGATAGTCAGGTGATTTTTGTGCAGTGTAAGACTTGACAAAATGAATGTAATCTGAATGACAACACACACACACACCTTAAAGTATATGGGTGCCATATCGCCCAGCTCTCGGGGTAGGGGGATACACTCTAGGACCATGTGTCGTCTTCTGTGTAGGTTCATGTGTGTTTCCATGAACACACAGTCCAGCTCCTGGGACTCAAACATGCGCACCAAGGTTCGCCGGAACAGCTGAGGACACCAAAGCAGCACAGAAGTGAGCTCAATTACATTTTAATGAGTTTTGTTTGAGCTAATCTGACATGAACCACCTATGTAAAACAGCGGTTATAGAAGCTGTGATATTAGCCTGGTATCGACAGGACTTCTGGCACTGATTGGCTAACCTGAATTTCTGACCAAATATCCTCATCCAAACCGGTGGCAGAGCAGTGATGCTGGAGAGGACAGATGAGACAGTGACCCTCTGTCATCGACACTCCTGCAGGCAGGCTCAGGTACACCTGAACACAAGGATTGCAAATATGTCTATATATGTACTTTTTTATATCTTGTTTTTCTTACCAATAGTCAGAAACTGGAAGTATTTGGGTTTTAGACTGTTGGTCTGACAAAACAACACAACACCTTCCTCACCTCGTCTCAAAACCTTTGCATTCACAATCCCTTACCTTGCTGCCTAGCGCCACTACGAGGTGCTTTTGGAGCTCTTGGCTGCTGAAGCAGTGGTGGCATTTCTCCATTGAGGCAGCCAGCCTCCTGCTCTCACCAATGGCTCTGTTCCTCATCCTCTCCTCTTCCCTTCCCTCGCCCTCCCGCTGAGCTGCACTCGACACAAACATGTCATCCAGCGTGTAGTTGTCACCATCCGTCTTCCCCATCATCTGGAGAGTTGAGTGGAACAGAAGTGGTGGTGATGGGAACGACGAGGAGATGGAGTGGAAAAGTGGAAGACGAGAGAGAGTTGGTGAGACATGGCTGGAGTGTGATTATTCTTGGCTAAGCCTAGTGTATTTTCTCTATTCAACAAAACATTATGAGGGAACAAGTATAAATAATTACACTACTGTATGTGCTTAGGTAAATGCTAGTTGGTGGTGTATTATAAATCAGCTGTGGGTGTGCTTTATTGATAAGGAGATTAAGTTTAGCTTTCACTTTGAATTTCAGGCAAAAAAAATAATTAAAAAATTCTACACTGACGCGTCTTAAAAAAGAAAAAGTCATGGCAATGCTTTAAAAAGCACTGTAGATATAGCGACTATCCTTAGAAACTGGTGGTAGATTCATTAACTGGTGTACGTACCGTAGGTGCTGACGCAATATTACCGTCTGTGCCGTTTACATGCCATATTTGTGTGCGTGTGATGTGCCTGAACAACCCTGTATGTATGTTGGTCTCTGTGTGTTAATTGTGTGAAGTGGGACACCAAGTATTGACTGGTGTTTCTACGGCTGTCTTGTTGCCATGGCGACTGGGCAACAGGTTGGAGTCTGTGTATGTGAGAGAGTGAGAGGCAAGCATGGCTGAAGTGTGTGTGCATGAATTGCTGTGTAGGAGTGAGTGTGTGAGTGAGAGTGAAAATTGGATTAGTTCTGTGACAGTGTGGGAGGGAGGGAGTGTGTGTACATGGCTTTTTATGTTAGTGTGGACAAATTGTAGTTTTGTTATTGTGAGGACATGTTGGCTGGTCCTCATAAATGCAAAAGGACTGAGGGTTAAGACGTGGTTTTAGGGGTAGATCTAGGTTTAGGTTAGAGTAAGGGTTGACTTTAGGCATTTAGTTATGATGGGAGACAGGGACTGCCTTGTGTCAACAAGTGTCCTCACAGCTATAGAAAGGACAACATGTGCATGGGACTAAGTGAGCAGACACATGCCACATTTGTCCTAGAGCAGACAGTTTTATTTTCTTAATTCAATTCAGTTTCATTTGTATAGTGCCAATTCACAACAAAATTAATCTCAGGGTACTTTACACAGTACGGTCTAGACCATACAGTATTACAGACAAGAGCTCAACAAATGCCACTGAGCGAGTGCTTGGCGACAGTGGGGAGGACAAACTCCCTTACATACAAATGCCATCACACACTTACATTTAGAGCACAATATTGTAAGCAGGCTGTAATGTTATACTACTGTAATATTAACTTTATTTTAGCAATAATAAATCAGCGTCCATATCGTCAGCATTCAGGTTCACTGGTGATGATCTGATTTACACAGGTCTCCATTAAATGCATAAATTCTGGATGAAATTTAGATGATGCATATTAACCAACATGTAGCGGGGGGGGCATCATCTTATGTCTGGCACACAACTCCAATGTATGTACTATTGCAGAAACAAACCACATTAACTTTCCAGACAATGTTAGCCTGCTCACTCATTGGTCTCTGACCAATGGATAGAAAAAACATAGTGCGATCCTTTACATTCAGTATACACAATACAGTTTAATTAGGCAGAGAGACTGACAGGAAAAGTCAGAGTTTTCTAACTTGTCTCTCTTCACCCAGAGGCACACAAAGCTGCACCACTCTGCCAATAGACACACATTTATTATTGATAAATGTCGGTGTTTTTGGCTGTCAGAATAAAAACCGAGTGACAAATGGCTGAAAGCACTTGAACTGAAGCATGTTAAACTTACGTTCCAGATGACAGTCTGCTGGAATGTGCTCTTAATTGTCATAATTCAAAGACACAATTACAGTTGATCTGACTATAATTGTCATGAGAGATATACAAATGAAAAATAACAAAAAGGCTGGGTGCTGGAAGGAGAAATGGTAGAGGAGAGGGTTATAAGAACCTGAGGAAGGCACGATAACGTAAGAGGTGAGAAGAAGCAAAGACAGAATAAAAATGTGATATCATTAAGAATAAATCAAACAGAATAAGGGAAGGAGCGATAGAGGTGAAGAGGCAGGCAGACAACAAACCATCTCAAAAACAATGACAGTGAAGAAGTGGAAATGAAAGTGTAATATACTCTATTCATAATGATTACTGATGAATAGCATTTTTGCTTAGCATTTTGATGACTTGAAGAGGTGTGACACATTTAGTACATTTCAAAGATTGAAAAAAATATAGCTTACTTGATGAATACAAGATAATAGAAATATGTAAATGCAAATTTGCGTGGGATACATTGATTATAGTTTTTTTCTGTTCCTTTTTTCTTTACTTCTGTTTTGATTATTGGGTTTATTTTTACTATTTTGTTAATAATAATAAATATTGAATTTTGTTTTCTTTTTCTGGTTTGTTTTGGGCCAAATAAACTCAGCTAAAACGAAAAGACTCCTTGTCAAATGACTGATCTTACATTAACTTGGCAAAGGAACAAAACTCTGGGGGAGAGGAGGGTCGGAGGATGAAAGAGGACGACAGAAGATAGATTCATAAAACAGAGAAAAAGATGGACAAACAGATAAAGTACAGAGATAATTACAGAAGGAGCAAAAGCGTCAGAGAGGGCAGAAGAGTGTGGTACAGACACGGGATGGAGCTGCTGGAACAAAACAAAAAAAAACTGTTCTCTCTTCCTTGTAGATCATAAATCTATAGCTGTGACTAGAACTGGTATTTATAGAAACCCTGCCATGGTAACTGTAGTTGTATTTTTAGTGTTACTCTTTGTAGGTACAGAACATTTGTGTATATTTTTATATACGTCCAAGTGTAATGAAAACATAAGTGAGAGTGTGTATGTGTGAATAAGGGAAAGGGAGTGAAGTCAGAGGAAGTCACAGAAAGAAAAAAGCATGGATAAAGTTAAGGAATTTGTCTTTACTAAAATTGACAGAGCAACTCCTCCATGCCTGTGTTTATTAATGCTTCATTTTCTTACACACACACCTGTGAGCAGGATTCTCACACTAATTGCTGTCATATTCCAATCTACAGAAAGAGTAGTAAACAATTAGAAAAGAGAAAAAGGAAGAAGGAAAATGTGTCTCAGCTCGTGGAAATGTGCAGGCTGTAAAACCGCTGATAGACACACGCACCACAACCTGCCAGTACCCATCTGCTGCTGCGCGTCTATTTCCAGCACACAGTGGAGGAGAGCCACAGAGAGAGACAAGTGCATGTGAGAGTAGTAGTGGAGAGAAATGGAGAACAGCACAGAGCCAAACCAGTCTCACAGAACAAACCCTACATATCTCTCCTTTCCCTCATCCTAAGGGTGAGAATGACAGGGTTAATCTAGGTAATCCTCCATATAAACACACATCCATACAGCACCTTTTCCATGCCATATTTCTGTGGCTGCCTGACATCGACCTCTCTTTAAACCACGGCAGTGGGAATGGATGGTCGCGGTACCAAATGTACTCATCAAACAAAGCAAAAATGAGTGTGAATTGATTATTATTTGAACATTATTTGTTCGTCTGTAGTGCATTGATCTCCATGTTGTTTTTAGCAGGTGTTTAAAGTCACAATCTTATGACAACACCAGCTCTTAGGTTGCCAGATAAGCTTCATCTGTGTGTTGCAAGCATGATCTAAGCATTAAAGAGCCTATGGCATGCTTTTCCTTGTTTTCTGACTTATCTACAATGTTACAATGGTGAATTATCATAACGTAAATTAAAGCCCAAAAAATGAGGTGCACTTATGTTCTAGTACTTCTATGCAGAAGCAGCTCGGTTTATACAAGTCTGACAAACTCTTGCTCGTGAGGCTTTTTTCTTACAAAATAAAGTATTACATGATAGTTTAAGGATTTCGTTGAATGGACATAATCTCCAGGCAGCTGTACGTTCATGTGAGCTTGCCTGACATCCACTGGTGGCATTGTAAAAGAGCCATTTTTCGATTGTGCGCGGTTTTGTGGATATGTTTTACTTCCTGCTGCTGTGGCTCATTGTGCTGTTAACTTTCGACAACACCGGCAACAGGAGTTGTGTGCGTTCACAAACTATCCTCTCATTTTCAGGAAGAGGCTCATTCTGAAATAATTTGAATATTTGAAGTTATGAAGGTTGCCAAGCTAATCTAGAGGTACCCAAGATTAAAAATTAAATGGCTGGAAATGAGCAAAATGAGCAGCCATGAGCACTTTACCATGCTGTTATTTCTCCAGGTCATTCATTATTGGTCATGCTGTTCATTCTGGTAATATTTATGACAATATCAGTTTTTGCCTTTGTTGCCAAGTTGTGTTCAGTGATGGCGAGATTGTGGTAAAGCTACTATTTTCTTACCTTGGCAGCCATGCGAGAGTAGAGGGCATTCTGATCCTGTGCAGAGCTCATCTTCTCCCTTCTCACCATCTCCTGCAGACCAACATTGTCATCATCCTGAAAGTAGCGCATACGCTGCCCGTCCACATGGGTCTCAATCTGAGGACACAAAGAGAGGAATGTGAAAATGTGAAACAGGCAAGGACAAACAAGATAGTGAACAGGAAATTACTTGAAATTGGTTGCAGCATGAAAAAAGACCATTTTAAAATCCATTCAAATCACATCCTTGAAAGGCAGAATGAGAAAATGAATGACCAAGGTCAGTGGAGAGAGGACAGAAGAAGAAGATGATGACAGTATTAACTGGACAGACCAGAGAGACAAGTACATGTACAAGTAGTAGTGGAGAGAAGCAAGGGAAACAAGACAGACACTTAAGGAGACACGGCCACTTAATCGAGGTATGATAATCTTAAACAGAAACTGGACTGGAGAGTCTTGTTTAGATTACAGACACTTCAGCTTGGAGTCAGGTGGAGGCTCTGCTCTCAGTACACATTCTGGTGAATGCCAAATGTCAAGGAACAAACAGCAGTTGCAACAGTGTGCAGGCTGCTCTGCGTCATCATCCTAAGTTGTGGCTTTCTTATGCAGTTCAAGATTTATTTTTACCGTGTTTGTGCAACGGTAATGTTCATTTTTGTAGAAAACTCCCTTTGCTGCTCTCCAGTAATTTTTGAGGGGTATTTTCATACCCCACCCCCACCCCTCTCTCGTTACCGATTTCTTCTTCCGCCGTCCTCCATGGGGCTCTTGAGGTCCAGAGGGAGCCTTGACTGGCCAGGCCCGACCTGAATGATCTGTTCTGAACAGCAGGACCTCCTGGTCTTCAGCAGAGCGACTTGGGACCTGAAACATGAAGACACAGTTAATGTCACTTTTGTTTGATTGTTTTGTACAGCAATGCATGTGACTAACTGTATTCCCCAAAGGTTGAAATACTTTTTTTATATTCAGCCTTTAGAAAGTAACAGAAAGACGAAAAAACATCATCAATAAAATGTCTGACAATGTAAAACATCCAACAAATGACTGAAATGATCTAAGATCATAGGATAGCCAAATAGTCACAGGTCTGTGTTTTTGAAAGATCAAAAACTTTGACAAGCTGAAGTCTGAACTGCACACAGAGCTGTTCTTGATTTCTGCAGAAAATTAAAACAGGACACTATCTAATTATTGTATGTAGCACTCACTTAAATAATGTGTTGGGAGATTAATTACATTCAGAAAGAAAAGCAGTCTACCACAGCCAGTATCTGATTAGACAGACTGAGGTGTAACCTGACAAGTAGAGACGGACAGTCGACAAACAAGAACAAGCTGGAAGAAGCAGAGGCCAGGAGACAGTCAACATAAATTGAAACAGACAGTAAGATGGACTGTCAGAAAAATATGATACAAGAAAATATCTTCTCTGCTCCAGTGGGCACAGACAGGCCTCCCAAGACTCCACATGCAGTGGAAACACTAAAACTGAGCAAGACAGGCAACAAGAGTCAAAACGCTGAATGGTGAAGACAAGCCAAAAGTCTTCCATAATAAAACGGGCTGGAAGGATCTCCAAGTGCAAATCAACGGCACTCCATCTCTCCATCTCTAAGAGGGCTGAAGCACCTCTCAGCAGTGAAGTGCACTAAAACCTAAGAATTATGACATTTTCTCTTAAACCTCACTGAGGATTTCACCCTTTTAATTTGGATATAGCAGCTTTACTGAGGACCAAACTGGCCTAACTTAAAATGATAATATACAGGTTATATAAATAATCACAACCTGCTTTCCATGTGTTTATAAAGCTGTCTGGACTCTGCTCATGTCAAAATATATCAACATTTATCCATGTGTGTAACCAGAGAAGACATATGCAGTGCCACTAAGATGAGATAAAGCAGTGCTGAGGTGTCAGGGCACAGCCATTGCTCCCCATTAACTGTCTGTACTACAGACACAGACGCAGACAGGATGGCGCAGGATGTTGATCTCTTTTCCAAACACACGCACATTAACGCTCTGACTGACCTCTGGTAGTGTGTCACCACCAAACTAAAAGACATTTGTTTCCCATTAAGGTCTGCTAAGATGCCATAACGGCAAGATGTAAGAGCTGAAAACCTACAAATTCCTTTAAAAAGCACTCAGATATCAACATAGTTTAGTTTCATCTGAAGACAAGAGTGTGTGAGGCACTTTTGTTGCCTGTTGCATGATAAGATAGACAGATCCTACAGTAACCTGCTGTGTGTGAAGTTTACAGAAGATACAGCCCTGAGTGTTTGGATTAGCATTTAGAAAGAGAAGCAGCCAGCAGATAAACCTGACCCAGGAAGATGCAGAGTGTGCATGTGTGCCAGGTAAAGGCAGTCTAAAACAAGAGCCCTGCAACAAATCCTACCTTCATGTTAACTCTTCAAGAGAAATGCTCAAATTTGTGGTCTATCTGGAGGCTGCACTCTGGTGCTGCTGAATATCAATTTGTATTTTGTTATAGTGAGGTTTCTGATATTTTGTGTACCCCTGTGAACACTAATAACATTTGTTAGACAATGACACGTGCAAAACAAGTAGGTACAGACCTGGCTGGATTTAGCAGTTTCTTGTAGCTTCTTTCGGACGGCGTGATTCTCTTTGGCTCTCTGTGCTGCATCCAACTGCGATTTCAACTTCTCAACCAAGGCCTGAAACACGCACACACAAACAACTGAAAAACTAAAATTCTTTTTAAAAGCTACACATTCAAACAGCCAGTCAGTATAAGTCATCAAATACTGCTGTGCCTTTTTTGTAACGCCCAATGTGTTTACAATCTTGTTTAATTTACAAGAATTTATGTCTGAAAAAGTTGTGGATGTATTACACTGAAGGAGTTTCATGTTTCACTTTTACAAAGAAAGCGATTAGGGCCCTGGGACTAATTTCTGAGCAGACTAATAAATTGTTTCCTTTCCTATAACAAGTGTTGTAAAACAGGGAAGTTGGCTTTTAGTTAGGTTTGTCTTATATTCAGCACAATACAGTCATAGTGACAAACAATAACATAACTAACTTATTCACCATATTGCCCAAGATCTCTGCCTTCACCAGCTTGGCTCCCAGTTTGTTCATCTCCTCCTCTGACAGCAGTGGAGCTTCATCCTCTTCTTCCTCCTCACTTTCACTCCTAAGTAAAAATGAAGGAGAGTCTGAAGGGCAGAACAAAACTAAGAAAGGGAATTAAAAAAAAATTCAAGAGTCATTTCAACCACAATACATTGACAATGTTATGATGCAACAAAGTCACAAACTTAAGAAAAACCTTTTAAAATTAAATCTAACTGTCCGGTTGGGTAGTGAAATTTCACAACATTATGAGCCACAAACACCTACTCAAGTAGTGTCCTTTTGTTCAGAACTTTTCTTCCAGACTTCCCCCTATAACTCACCTCTGAACAACAGGATTCAGTGACTTAGTGATTCCACCTTAATAACAGTCACAAACCCTCTAATGGGAACTTATTTGTGAAGTTTTTAATTTAACCATCTAGTTGATTTCTTCTGAGCTCTCAAAGGAGTTTATCAGTTAAGATTCATTTGAGTCTCTATGCCCCCGAGAAATCATTACAGCCTCGCCTGGGAGGATCTGAACTGCAGCCTGGGAAGCATCGTTCTAGGCTATTACACTCCTCATAGCCTCATTTTATTCTGCTGCCAAGCTGCAGACTCATTTCATGCTGTAGGGGTTCTGGGTGCTGGTTCACCCAAACAACTTAGCCTAATGAGGCAAAACACAGAACAACTGAGCAGACTTTACAAAACAAAGACACAGAGAGACACACACTCAACATTTGGTCTACAACACAACTATAGTTGGGACACGATGAAAGTACGAAATCATGTAAGCTAAGAATGTAATCATTTGGCTCAGTTAAAAAGGATTTCTGTGCCACTAGGTGTTGTTACACTTTAGTGTCCTTTAAAATAAGACCGAAAACTCGTGCGTGTTGCAGTTAAAGCTGAAGGAAGTGCATAATAACATAAGTACATACTGACTACATTAACATGAACGAGGGATGAAGCAGAGAGAGATACAATTATAAGAAAGGAGGAAGCAGACTGGGGGGCACATGCTGAAATTAGCAATACACTACAGTAGACAGAAATAGTACAGAAATTATAAGAGCTGCAGGCTTGGAGTCCAGATACCTAGGGAGTTGTTCTGGGAATAATAAGACTAATGTTCAAATGTGGCTAGGACCGTCAAGATTTCTTTCTGCTGGTCGCTTGTAACTAGCCAAGCACATGTGTGACTTACTCTCATTTATGGTATTTACTGTATGCGTATGTATTACCAGAGCTAGAGCGATCATGACTGTGACATCTGGCTTCGTGTGAGAAGACATAAACGATAATGGGACTGAAGAAACGGGAATAGGAAATTGCAGTAATGGACAGATTCACTCATAATGTCCACATACAATATGGAATATTCAAACAATACAGTGGTGTGTGTGGCATCATTTAGTAAACTGTATTTTAAGCCAACAAAATGAAGCTTAAAACCTTGATGTTATCTCAGCAGCTTTGTCACTATGCAGACCATGTTGAGCAGTGATTCCAGTTTTCCCAGCATCCCTTTTGTGCTCTTGCGGAGGCTTTTCCACACTGTCAGAATCACAGGTAGGTTTGCTGCTCTTCTTCCTGGCTGGAACACTGCTACTACCAGAGTCCTCATTATCAGAGTCGGGTTTCAGGAATCCTGTAGAGGTTCGGGCTGGCAGAGCTGTTTGCTGTGGAGCTGCACAGGGGAAAAGATAAAAACATGTTAGGTATTTAATGGAACAAGCTTGGTTTCCTGATTTGTGATAGCTGTTGCACTTAGTCAAAAACTAAAACACACAAGGTTTGCCTATTAAATCTGACTCAGACATAAAAGGCCTCGACATCAACCCACCTTCACCGCTTTCATTATCTTCTGAGGGTTTGAGGAAACGGCCTTTTAGTGACCCAAGTGAGAGGGAACGTTGACTCCAATTTTGCCCAGATGAGGAGGACGCAATGATGGACTGATCTCTTTCTCCACCTCCATCCTTGTCCTTCTCTCGGTCTCTTTCATTACCTCTTTCCATCCCAGTGTTTCTGTCCCTATCCCTCTCTGTGTACCTGTCACCATCTCGGCCTCTCTCCTCCTCTCTTCCCCGATACCCCCCACTCTCCCTCTCCTTTCCTCTTTCGGCATGGTACCGCTCTCTAAGTGATGAGTCTCTTTCATTTTTTCTCCAACGATCTCTGTCTTGCTCATCTCTCGTTTTACTCCTCCAACGATCTCTGTCTTCCTCATCTCTTGTTTTACTCCTCCATCTCTCCCTGCTCTCCTCTCCTCCTCTCTTCCTCCAGCCTCCTTTTGCCATGTCGTCTCCTCCTCCTCTGCTCTCTCCATACATGGCTTTCTCAGCCTCCGAAAGTCTCTGCTGAAATTCTTCCACTGACTTTAAAAGAAAAGACATATTAAAAACATTGACCACTTTTTCACAGAGTGGATACACCTTGCCATGCTGTATAGGTTAGAGTATCTATGAATCAACATTCTTATGTCCAAATATCTATTTACAAATAAATATTATACAAAATCCTCATGTGTGCGGTAGTTTAAGTGTCTGGGCCCGCTAAACTGCGCAAGAGCTGCCAGTGTGCCTGTTCTCACTCCGTATCTCTCAGCCACCAAATCGTTGAGGTTGCGCTGCTCCCTCTCTGCCTGCTCCTTCATCCTCTGGTAGCTCTTCCGCAGCCAGCTCAGACCTCCATCGTTCACCGCCGAGCCTACAGGAACGCACAGAGAAAAACGTTTACAGAGAAGCACATATAAAAAACCTTTTTCCATCATTTAACAGATCCTGAGCCCAGTGAATCAATCACATCTTTCACAGTTTTTTTTTTTTTTTACCTCTCCCAACTCCAAACTTTAGAAAATGGCATACATTCAAGCGATGATAATTAGATGCAACTTCACCAGTGAGTTTACTGTACACACTGACAGTTACCACCTGAAATCTCCTTTGTTCAAAAACAATAAAACACTGTTTCATTCAGCCAAATGAATTACCCTTACATAACTAAACCAGTAAGTTGCAACAATGTTAATTAAGATTGTGTGGAAAAACAAAAGTTATTATTGTGAGAACCCGAAAAAAAGAATTCACAAAAACAAATCAAAAAACAAAAAATTTGAATCACAAGCTTATGAATGAGAACAAGGAAATGCAGGGGTGGGCAGACCAAGAGAAAAGTAACAGATGAAGATTAGGACAAAAGAAAAATTTGTTTTTAAACTCACGGGAAATAATAAATGGCCTTTCACAAACAACAGTTCTTAAAACGTCCTAGAGAGATAACAAATGAAATGTACTGACCAAACCAAATGTCTCCTGGCCAAGGCCAACACTGTATCTGATTCAGTGTAATCTGTAACTGTAACAGTGCATCTCTAAGTTCTGCTTTGAACCGTAGGTATACAAAAGCCAAACATCATTACTACTGTCATCAAACACAGAGCTGGCTTTTGAATTGCTCTGGTCTTGTTCCACCACTGTAAGCTCTAAATCACGTTTCTTTAAATGACCCTGGGGCTGACAAAACAAACTGTATCCAATGTTAAAAACACACACCAGACTGCGACCCAATACCAAAGTAAACAAAATTCCCATCTGTCACAAGGTTTGAAGGGGAAAGTCAGCAAAAGTGCATGTGATGTTTGTGTCAGTTTATTTAGCCTTGCTTGGAACTGTACTTACTGTGTAGAGATAAGAGACACATGCACACATACCAGTGTTTCCTCATTAGCTGAACACAGCTTACTCTCAGTCTGTCAGTCTCCCTCTTTCCCTTTTTTGTCTTTGTGCTCTCAGTCTTCTGTTGAACATCAGTTGACTTTTCTGGATAACTAACTGTGTACAAGCTGAATCTGATTTTCTCGTGCACTGTCAAAACATTAACCAGTTCCGCATCAAATTCATCCCCAACCTAAAAGGGGCTCCCCTCTGACAGAATGAAATCTCGTTTGGATCAGGACTGTGACTTTCTGACATAATGTATACTTACATATACACACATTCATACAGTACATTTATCTAATAATCAAGAACAAAAAGGCAAATATTCCACCACTGTTATACAATCAGTATTTCATATTACACAATATTGAAATGGACCTGGTTTTGTCTACTGCTGTTTTTTTATTTTATTCTTCCTTTGCTGGAGGGGAATAATGAGGCAACAGTTAGGTAACAACATGCTCAGTACAGCAGCTGCACTGCACTCTGGTCCACAGTGGCACCTTTCAGTAGAAAAACACACCTCTGCCTCTTCTACAGTAGGTTTCTGCCTGTGCATGAATGCTGGCAAAAATAATATTAAAATAAACAAAATCTGGAGTGAAACTTTATTCCACAGTGCTGAGACCAAAACAAATGTTTATAGTATATTTTACATAGCTGAAAAATGTTCTGCTATCCATCTAGTGGTTAAGGTCTTAATAGAGTCTAGTAATCTCAAGTCACTATCACCTTTCTTTACTGCAGTCCCAGGCACCTCTTCTGGGGGGAGACCAGTTCCTCCATCCTTCCAGTATGGATTCAGCTCCAATTTGTGCAAACCAGCCTGGGGAAACCATAAACACACACGCACACGCACACACACACACACACACACACACACACACACACACACACACACACTAAGCTTAGTGACAACAATACACAGGGGAAACAAATGCTGTAACTCCAGCTAAAAACACCATGCAAGTACAAACTGGTACACACACAACAGTATACTGCTGTCTGAGAGTGGACACACTCCGTTACCTTGGTAACCACACAGTTGGTAAAATGAGGACACTAACTACCAAAGTGTTTTAATACTGTGTGCAATCCATTCATACACAAACATGACTGCTCCTTAGAAATTAACTGACTATTATAAACTGAAGAGAAATGGGGAAACACATACACACCTGTTCAATGGCCTGAGCCTTTGCCCTCTCTTCCTCTTTCTGTCGTTCCTTCTCAGCCCTCCTCTCTGCTGTGGATGTGGTGCTCATGGCCAGGAAGTCAAATGTCATCCATTCATCTCTCTACAGGACAGAGACAATACAGACAAATACATACATACCTTTTGTGTATAATGAGGTTTGATTATTGGACTTTGTTGCAGAAAATTTTGGTTATGAAAGAACCAAAATGTAACCCTATATAACCCCGACTAGTTCTGACTTGTCCTAGTTCAAATGGTAACAGACCTTTAATAGACCTTGATATATAGGCTACAATACAACAGATTATACAATTACTATAAACAGTACTGAGTTTGTTTGTATTGAGCTCTTTATCGGTCACTGTGGTGTCTGTTTGTATCTGCATATGTTCTGTATGAATGGATATTTATGTGGAGTGCGTTTGTGACAATGATATAAGTTGGTATGTGGTGTACTGTGTTGTACTATGTTACTTTTTAAATAACTGTATTTGTCTAGTTATTATTTTCTATGATAATAAAAAAGACAAATATACACCAATCAGCCATAACATGATGACCACTGACAGGTGGCACAAGACAATCAGCGCTATTTCACTTCACCTGTCAGTGGTCATCCATTTTAACAAAGATTAAACTTTAAATTTCATTTATCCTTTTCAAAAAATTCCATTTTGCCTGAATCTTTGTTAAAATGGTTGAGAATGAGAAACACTGTACACTGGTCTCTATGAAGAGAAACATTCAGCAGCTATAGTGATGATATCACACCTAGAGTGGGGAGGCTGCTGAATTCATCTAAACAATTCTCTCTAACTCGTCCTCACCACCACAGTTTTCACTCCTTTTACAGAAGTTTTCACTGAATGGTTGACTCATTTGTGCTCTTCCTGACAGTAGAACTGGAAGCAAACAGATCCACAGAAGATGCACAGTGAGCTGCAGCATGACACGGTGTTAGGCAGGTGGTCATAATGTTATGGCTGATTGGTTGTATTGACCGAAAATCTATAATCACTTAACAGAAATTTAACACAGAACAAGTTTGCTCTAACATGCACATAATCAAAAGGAATATAAACACTTTCAACATCTTCTACCATATACAACAAAACACAAAAAGGTGCATTTTAGAGTGAGCCACATTATTATTCTGTAAATGTTGGACTAGGTAGAGGACATTACCTGGACGTTCTGGGCTGGGCTGAGGCTTCTCTCTGAAGGTTTGGACTCATCAGAAACCTGCCAAGGTTTAGCTGCTCGTGTCTGAGGCTGAGCCTCAACCCACTCTTCCCCTGAGTCCTGACAGAGAGAGAGGGGAAAATGTGAGAGAGACAGAAAATGATGATAAAAAAGGAAAACAGAATGGGAAATGACCATAATCAAAAAAAAAAAAAGCAAAATCAATAAATTAAGCAGACGACGCAAGTCCTTCCACTTGA